TTTTGTTATCCCAGAATGGTGTGCTGTCCTCAGTTCCTTACCTGTGTTTTTGTTATCCCAGAATGGTGTGCTGTCCTCAGTTCCTTACCTGTGTTTTTGTTATCCCAGAATGGTATGCTGTCCGCAGTTCCTTACCTGTGTTTTTGTTATACAAGAATGGTGTGCTGTCCGCAGTTTCTTATCTGTGTTTTTGTTATCACAGAATGGTGTGCTGTCCGCAGTTCCTTACCTGTGTTTTTGTTATACCAGAATGGTGTGCTGTCCGCAGTTCCTTATCTGTGTTTTTGTTATCCCAGAATGGTGTGCTGTCCGCAGTTCCTTATCTGTGTTCGGCTTTTTCCGGGTTTCTCGCTGGACAAACAGCCGATGTTATTAGGTCTAGAAAAATCCTCTCAACGACAGCAACGAGACGTTTATACCAGGTATCAGGTAAGTTGTCTGATTTTAAATCAGAAAAAAGTGCAACAAAGCCATGAACATACTTATATTTCACCTGAGGAGAAAAGGTTATCATCAGGCACAGTTAGCTGTCTATAGCGTAGTTAATAAATTGTAATATATGTTTGTGACCCTTCTTTATCATTTGGCTTATTCTGCTGTTCTCAGTGTATGAATACATAACCTGAACACTACTGCTATAGCTTCGTGACAACGCATCTGGAAAACAGTTCTTTACAAAAACGTCATTTAAAACGTTCCCCGGCACCTAAATCAACACTTATTTGATATGAATATTCTATTCATTTAAATTATTATGTATTTTTTAAATCAAAAACAAATAATTCAGATATCAGAGCTTTGTTTTATTGTTCGATTTTGTAAGGAAAACAGCTCGTGACTTCAGCTGGTTTTCTGTTTTTGTTCTAGTTATAATTGACCTACCATCGTCGATTACCATGGGAAGTTTTAAATGAGAGAGGAAAACATCAACTTAATTGCACTAGATTAAAGAAAAATATAAGCAATAAACTGCATAAAAGTTACAAACCTTCTGATATAACTGCAACCGGACCACAAATAGAATTCCCCTCAGGTGGTATACATTGCACCTACCGAAATCCTCACTGTTTCTCAAATAACTATATCCTATACGTCGTCCTTGGCAACGGACATGAGAGTCCGATTTATTATATTACCAACGAAGGATCAGATGGCATTTGTTGGTTGTTAGATTTAATTGTAGGAGGTGTACATTGTATCCCAAGCCAAACATTGTTATACGCTTATACGTTGCGAGGAGTTTTAAAACCAAAATAAACAAATAAAAAACAAGAGTTATGATATCTATGACAGCTTCTTAACTAAGATAGTAACCAGAAACTCATGTCCCTTCTTTTGCGCATGTACACAGATATATTAGACCGCCGCTCAATCTGTATAAATATACTGTGGTATAGGATTGTAGTTTATCTGGTAAATTATTTCAATATTTTAATTGATGTTTTACAAAATTTGTTGCTACGTTTTAAGGTAGAAACAAATTACGTTTTTTGCCTAATGCAAATGAATAAGCAACATAATCAGTAAAGCCTGTATAAGCAGTCACGGGTGTAGCAACTAAACGTGGTGTAAATTGAATCATGGTTTATCTCGTTCTGCTCTCTTTAAAAGCTTGATAAAAAGCAACTGTTGCTTTACCTAACACTGTAGGGCAAAGTAATCCTAGTATCCTTTTGTTTTAATTTACATAGATATCAATGATATCCAAAGAGTCATTGTCTTTTCATGTTATACTGGGATTCACAGATTGTGATTCGGACTTACCAAATCGTATATACTATAAAAAGAGGTAATAGAAAAAAATACTTCACAACATTTTGAATTCCGATCTCATTTTGCTTTGATGGATAAATTGATAAATAACATACCGCTAAAAACCGTCGACCGTTGCTCCAAATTCGAAAATTACACCTAAATGTGTCGAGGTCAGTCGAGGTGCTTTGATGATGACATCACAACAGACATTGGATCACTGTGCCATTTTGGCAACGTCTTAATGTTTGAGTTTATGTTACACATGGGAGTCGTTGGAAGAGTGTTCACTTATTGCAGACGCATGGTACAAGAATTAAACAACCATACTGTTATCAGGTGATACACTATGGCAATAATCGAATGTCAGCTACGATTAACAAGGGCGGTGCTATGTTTAATCCATCAGTCGGTGCTTTATATAAGTAAAATCGTAGATGCTCGGTTCAGAATATATTTATGTTTACCTGATTAATGATCGTTAGTTCAACCGCTTTCCAAGCAATTGGAACGGACTACCAAAACTTGTCTTAGTATTTATTCCCAAAGGTGAGGGACTTTTAAAGCTACACAAGGTCTTAATACATGGATCTAGAAAATATTTTAATTTGGCAGTTCAACTCAACGGAGAATAAAAGAACTCGAAGCTGGAAAATGACTACGGGGACATTCTTTAACTTATATGATACTTCATTGAAAGTTGAAAGTTGTCATTTATTTATCATTTTCTTTTTCATATTGTAGCGTTCGTTGGAGCAGGCGTGTTTTCCGTGGCAACTGGTTTCGCTACGTGTGAGCATCGGGATATGGCTGTGATCTTCCTATCAATCGCCGTTATGTTTACCGGGCTTTGCAGGGCTGGATACGTTGTAAACCATGTTGACTTCGCACCCAAGTTAGTTGTTAAGATCAGTCATAGGTTTTACTAAAAAAAATGGTAGAAGCCAACGATTTGAAGTACCCATTTTTAGAAATACGTTTACCATGTCAGATTTCATTGACCATATACAAGAGAGAAACAACCTGTAATTCGAACTCAAAATAGATAAACCATGAAAATTATGAACAATTAGAAGTTTTACACACCCTTCAAAAATACAAAGAGGATACGAGCAAGCGTTTTTGAGGGGTAAACATGTTTTGCTTATTTGACGACATCCTCCATTAAAATCGAAGTCAAATCTAATTGACATCCTTACATCAAAGTGAGAACGAAACAAAAGGTGTATATATGAGCAAAGTTAACGTCTGTATGTCCGAATACGTTTGTGACGGCTACTATTAAAAGTTCTATGTAGGCATCAGTTTTAATGATATTCGTTGATGCTAATCTCAAATATTACTTTGATGATTATGATTTAATCATTCAGATCATTTTTTGTTTTGAAGGTACGCTGGTACGCTGTACGGAATAACAAACACAGCAGCCACCGTGCCGGGAATGGTGGCCCCGATCGTAGCAGGGGCGCTCACACCAAACGTAAATGTGACGTCATATGTCCTCAGAAAATGCTAATTACTGATAATTTACTCCTCACTGTGCTATTGGTAGGGCAGGCACATTTGTATGCCAAATAATATGTTAACAACATGACTATACATGTACTCTTGAAATACCATATAAATATCCAAGGTGCTCTTCCAGTCCTAATTGAATTATTTAGTAGTCAGTGTCGCATTTATCTTATACACTAATGTATATGTAAAAGGTCTAAATATATGTCGTTGGATATTTCGTATATTCTTATGACTATTACATTGGACGCCCGGTATATTCCATGATATCTAACATTTTATAATTCCTTTACTTATGCTTTTTAAGGAAGCAGACAATTTTCTAGTTTCTGAAAGAATAAGTTTGGTCCCATAAGTTGCAAAAGAACCCACAATGTTTAAATGTTCTAATCGTTTGTTGCAATACCCTTCTTTACATATATAATAAAGCGGTGTTATCTTGTAGACGAAACTTTCTATAATATTATGCAACCCGTTTCATCTTTGTTAGTATGGCATTTCATAAAAAGGTATTTTTCACATTCTCAGTAAAATTACATTTCCTCGAGCCCTTCAAAATGACGTTGTGGCGAACAATCAATGTGTTTACGCTAAGTCTGACGTCATGCCGTTTTTTCAGTATTGTAGTTAATGCTTACTATGTTTTGCTTTCCTCATTTACGTACTACATAAGTAACTTTCATACTCAATATTACTTGTGGTAATGTTGATTCGGTAGATACCATATCTTGCTAATTGGTGCCTCATTTACGTACTACATAGGTAACTTTCATAATCCGTATTACTTGTGGCAATGTTGATTCTGTAGATACCATATCTTGCTAATTGGTGCCTCATTTACGTACTACATAGGTAACTTTCATAATCCGTATTACTTGTGGCAATGTTGATTCTGTAGATACCGTGTCTTGCTTATTGGTTCCTCATTTACGTACGACATAAGTAACTTTCATACTACGTATTACTTGTAGTAATGTTGATTCTGTAGATACCGGGTCTTGATAATTGGTTCCTCATTTACGGACTACATAAGTAACGTTCATACTCCGTATTACTTGTGGTAATTTTGATTCTGTAGATACCGTATCTTGCTTATTGGTTCCTCATTTACGTACGACATAAGTAACTTTCATACTTCATATTACTTGTGGTAATGTTGATTCGGTAGATACCATATCTTGCTAATTGGTTCCACATTTACGTACTCCATAAGTTTTGCTTTCCTCATTTACGTACTACATAACTAACTCTCATACTCCGTATTACTTGTGGTAATTTTGATTCTGTAGATACCGTATCTTTATAATTGGTTCCTCATTTACGTACGACATAAGTAACTTTCATACTACGTATTACTTGTAGTAATGTTGTTTCTGTAGGTACCATATCTTGCTAATTCGTTCCTCATTTACGTACTGCATCAGTAACTTTCATACTCCGTATTTCTTGTAGTAATGTTGATTCTGTAGGTTCCATATCTTGCTAATTGGTTCCTCATTTACGGACTCCATAAGTAACTTTCATACTCCATATTACTGGTGGTAATGTTGATTCTGTATATACCGTATCTTACTTATTGGTTCCTCATTTACGTACGACATAAGTAACTTTCATACTCCATATAACTTGTGGTAATGTTGATTCGGTAGATACCATATCTTGCTAATTGGTGCCTCATTTACGTACTGCATAAGTAACTTTCACACTCCGTATTACTTGTGGTAATGTTGATTCGGTAGATACCATATCTTGCTAATTGGTGCCTCATTTACGTACTACATAGGTAACTTTCATAATCCGTATTACTTGTGGCAATGTTGATTCTGTAGATACCATATCTTGCTAATTGGTGCCTCATTTACGTACTGCATAAGTAACTTTCACACTCCGTATTACTTGTGGTAATTTTGATTCTGTAGATACCGTCTCTTGATAATTGGTTCCTCATTTACGTACTCCAAAAGTAACTTTCATACTCCATATTACTTGTGGTAATGTTGATTCGGTAGATACCATATCTTGCTAATTGGTTCCACATTTACGTACTCCATAAGTTTTGCTTTCCTCATTTACGTAATACATAAGTAACTTTCATACTACGTATTACTTGTAGTAATGTTGTTTCTGTAGGTACCATATCTCGCTAATTGGTTCCTCATTTACGTACTATATAAGTAACTTTCATACTCCATATAACTTGTGGTAATGTTGATTCGGTAGATACCATATCTTGCTAATTGGTGCCTCATTTACGTACTACATAGGTAACTTTCATACTCCGTATTTCTTGTGGTAATGTTGATTCGGTAGATACCATATCTTGCTAATTGGTTCCACATTTACGTACTCCATAAGTTTTGCTTTCCTCATTTACGTACTACCTAAGTAACTTTCATACTCCGCATTACTTGTGGTAATGTTGATTCGGTAGATACCATATCTTGCTAATTGGTGCCTCATTTACGTACTGCATAAGTATCTTTCATACTCCGTATTACTTGTAGTATTGTTGATTCTGTAGATACCATATCTTGCTAATTGGTTCCACATTTACGTACTCCATAAGTTTTGCTTTCCTCATTTACGTACTACATAGGTAACTTTCATAATCCGTATTACTTGTGGCAATGTTGATTCTGTAGATACCATATCTTGCTAATTGGTTCCACATTTACGTACTCCATAAGTAACTTTCATACTTCATATTACTTGTGGTAATGTTTATTCTGTAGATACCGTATCTTGCTAATTTGTTACTCATTTACGTACTCCATAAGTAACTTTCTTACTCCGTATTCCTTGTAGAACTGTTGATTCTGTAGATACCATATCTTGCTAATTGGTGCCTCATTTACGTACTGCATCAGTAACTTTCATACTCCGTATTACTTGTAGTATTGTTGATTCTGTAGATACCATATCTTGCTAATTGGTTCCTCATTCACGTACTACATAAGTAACTTGCATTCTCCGTATTACTTGTAGTAATGTTGATTCTGTAGGTACCATATCTTGCTAATTGGTTCCTCATTTACGTACTGCATAAGTAACTTTCATACTCCGTATTACTTGTGGTAATGTTGATTCGGTAGATACCATATCTTGCTAATTGGTGCCTCATTTACGTACTGCATAAGTATCTTTCATACTCCGTATTACTTGTGGTAATTTTGATTCTGTAGATACCATATCTTGCTATTTGGTTCCTCATTTACGTACTGCATCAGTAACTTTCATACTCCGTATTACTTGTGGTAATTTTGATTCTGTAGATACCGTATTTTGCTTATTGGTTCCTCATTTACGTACTCCATGAGGAACTTTCATACTCCTTATGCCTTGTAGTAATGTTGATTCTGTATGTACCATATCTTGCTAATTGGTTCCTCATTTCCGTACTACATAAGTAACTTTCATACTCCGTATTACTTGTAGTAATATTGATTCTGTAGGTACCATATCTCGCTAATTGGTTCCTCATTTACGTACTGCATAAGTAACTTTCATACTCCGTATTCCTTGTTGTAATGTTGATTCTGTAGATACCTTATCTTGCTAATTGGTTCCTCATTTCCGTACTACATAAGTAACTTTCATCCGCCGTATTACTTGTGGTAATGTTGATTCGGTAGATACCATATCTTGCTAATTGGTGCCTCATTTACGTACTGCATAAGTATCTTTCATACTCCGTATTACTTGTGGTAATTTTGATTCTGTAGATACCATATCTTGCTATTTGGTTCCTCATTTACGTACTATATAAGTAACTTTCTTACTCCGTATTACTTGTGGTAATGTTGATTCTGTAGAGACAATATCTTGTTTATTGCTTACGGCAATTGTTTATTATTTTGAAGACGCTTTTATTTGGAATACAATGAAGGATAACATATTTTTCAAGAAATCAACGTTTTTTTAAGTGAAAGTTGTTAATATTTGTATATGACAACCCTAACATTATTTAACTTGTTGCATCAACAGGACACACAGGCGGAGTGGAGGAACGTTTTCTATGTATGTGCAGCCTTCGACTTGTTTGGCGCCTTAGTGTTTGGAATGTTTGGGTCCGGTGAACTTGAACCTTGGGCTCGAGATCCTGATGACGACAAACAGATCGATGATGTAGTCATGACCAGTATCGATGTAGAGAAGGCCCCAAACATGGACAACTTCAAAATGGACGACGATAACTGTGTCGTGGAGCCTGAAGTTAATGGCGTGGTAAACGAGACTAGTGAAAGCAGCGCCCCCTTGGAACAGAAGGGAGATGATGACTCCATGACCGAGTCAAGCACTTTGAAGGATTCTGATGACGCGACGGGTATGTCATCAAATTTAATGATTGACGATGCTGACCTGTCGCCAGAAAGAGACGATTTAAGTGATGAACATTTAGAGACCAAAAAAGATGAAATTGACACAACAAACGTCATCAGTCAGGAGCAGAAATTAACTGAAATAATGTTTTTTGGAACACGTGTATCATTAGAAATTATTGCTGAACAGACAAACGAAGCATAACATATTTTGAAATATGTGTTCAGTGTCGAAATGGAGACACTTAACTTATATTTGATCTTCTTACAACAGGGGATAATATTATACGGAGGTCACTTCCTATTTAACAAATGTCGAACTATTTATGCTCGGTAATAAACAAATATTTATCCTATTGCATGTACACTGTTTCGTAGCATGCTTAATAGATACAGATCTTGCACAGCGGCAACACACAAGTACAGAGGTTTGCCGTAGCTAGATAGGAGATATTTACTGATCAGGCACTGGTTACATGAAATACTATTACGCAAACGTCTTCAAGCGCTAATTCAAATCTGTATTTGGAGTTTTCTATTGTATATATGTGTGGTGTTTGAGTTCTTTTACAAAAACGACGAGTACCATATACCTTTGTTCAGTGGGTAATTTATTTCCCTGTAACAATATTAAAACACACATGAGACAATATACAGAAACGAACTCGCCTAATAATACATTTACATATGGAAAATTCACATTAAAACGTACGATACTTTTTAAAAGATATAAAGTGATAAAACAATTATTTAAAGAAGTAGACTAGAAAACGATATATGAATATTTGAATATGGTTAATATAATACTGGAAATAACATTTAGTAGCTTACACCGAAGTATAATATCATTGTTAAATAAGGAAAGTGTTCACTTAGCCATTAACCACACCCATAAGTATATATTAGCAATTTGCGACAAGTTATATAGTATTCCCAATACATATAAAGTATGGAGCATTAATATTTATCAGCATACATATTAAGTTTAGCAATAGCTTAGTTTAGCAATAGCTAAGTTGAACAATAGCTTACCCTGTATGTGGTACCGGGGATCCACTAGTATAATCATAGTTCTGTAGGTATCTCTATATTCTGCAAGGTATCTACATGGCGATGTTGCCTCTACCAGGAGCAGATAGGTAGTGAATAGAAAAGAACGGACAGAGGAGCAAAGAAAACATTAACGCGGGAAATATCGCGCAATGCGACAGGTGTCAGAGGTCAGTTTGTCACTGGTCAAACAGATATACAATAACCTTTACAATTACGTTACACTTCCATTCAAAACGAAGGGTGTGGATGCGGATGCGGAGCGCGGATTACGGATTAAAATCAACGACACAACATTATACAAACTAATACTAATTAATTAGACTCAATATATTTGACTGAATCTTAGGAATATAAAGAATTAAAATGAACTGACAAATCTGACAGGGTGCCACATATTAATTATGGAAGTGCTTATTCATGGATGCTCTTACATGGTAAAATTCAAAACACACGTCAATTTAGGTACGCGCAAGAAGTACGTTTACAGTATCCGCTGAAGCCTGTTAATTTGTGGCGTAATAAAGTGTTTCATATGCACCATTCCCATTTAATTATGTTCTACATACGATAGAAGTAGGAACACTTAAGAAACTGTGTTCCTTTCTCAAGTGATTATTTTTCACACGAGCACATTTTGATTACAGCGTCGTCACAAAAGAACACGAAATATCACAGCGCCACCATATATACCCAAAACAAAGCATAGCAACAACACACGAAATCTAATCGCTATGTAGCACGAACATATTATACAAGAAAATGTTGCATCAAGATAACAAACATTGTCAACACACTAGAACATAATGTATTACAGCGTCAACAGGAGACTACACACTATACTACAACGTCAACAGGGGACTACACACTATATTACAGCGTCAACAGGAGACTACACACTATACTACAGCGTCAACAGGAGACTACACACTATACTACAGCGTCAACAGAAGACTACACACTATACTACAGCGTCAACAGAAGACTACACATTATACTACAGCGTCAACAGGAGACTACACACTATACTACAACGTCAACAGGAGACTACACACTATACTACAACGTCAACAGGAGACTACACACTATACTACAACGTCAACAGGAGACTACACACTATACTACAACGTCAACAGGAGACTATACACTATACTACAACGTCAATAGGAGACTACATACTATACTACAGCGTCAACAGGAGACTACACACTATACTGCAGTGTCAACAGGAGACTACACACTATACTACAACGTCAACAGGAGACTACACACTATACTACAACGTCAACAGAAGACTACACACTATACTACAACGTCAACAGGAGACTATACACTATACTACAACGTCAATAGGAGACTACATAATATACTACAGCGTCAACAGGAGACTACACACTATACTACAGTGTCACCAGGAGACTACACACTATATTAAAGCGTCAACAGAAGACTACACATTATACTACAGCGTCAACAGGTAACTGCACACTATACTACAACGCCAACAGGAGACTACACACTATTCTACAGCGTCAACAGGAGACGACACACTATACTACAGTGTAAACAGGAGACTACACACTATATTAAAGCGTCAACAGAAGACTACACACTATATTATAGTGTCAACAGAACACTACACACTATACTACAATGTCAACAGGAGACTACACACCATACTACAAAGTCAACAGGAGCCTACACACTATACTACAACGTCAATAGGAGACTACACACTATAATACAGAGCCAACAGAAGACTACACACTATACTACAAAGTCAACAGGAGCCTACACACTATACTACAACGTGAACAGGAGACTACACACTATCCTTCAACGTCAACAGGAGACTACCCACTATACTACAGCGTCAACAGGAGACGACACACTATACTACAGTGTAAACAGGAGACTACACACTATTCTACAGCGTCAACAGGAGACTACACACTATACTACAACGTCAACAGGAGACTACACACTATACTACAGCGTTAACAGGAGACTACACACTATACTAAAGAGTCAGTAGCCAAGTACAAATTACTACAATATCAATGCACAGAGTGCTGTCAGCGATGAATTCAATAACACTGGAATGTCTTCTAAGAATTATTAGCCTTAAACCTCCCGAGAGGGTGAAAAACGATGGTGCAGTAGATTGCCATACAATTATGAAGAAAACATGAAATACAGCGTTCATGCCAAACAGGGCGATGAGAAAATTTTGTACTTTTCAGTTCTAAAACTAGCGCGTTACCCAAAGAAATTTACACACACGAGATTATGCGCAAAAGAAAGTAACTCCTGTAGCGAATGTGAAAAGTATATAGGTAACAGCACAAAGAGGAAGTGTAGTAATTGGTATGATCATGACCATTATTTTATCTTATATGTATATGTACTTAATGTAGCAAGAGTCATGTGAGTTCAAGTCAAAATGAAATCCAAATAGTCTACTGATTTGGCGGAAGGCGCGTGCTCGGATACTCAATGCTGATTGCCTCCCTTTATACACTCTTCCTTCCAGTGTGCGCCCGAGTTATTCTGGAGGGCTTTCAGTGATCTTTTAAGGTGGCTCCACACTTTCGCAGTTAACCAGCAAAATTCGTTGAAACTTTCATATAATGTTTTTGCAACTATGTAGAGTTGATTTTATGAAAATCAAAACATTCCGATAATTTGGGGACTTTTTTGTAAAAAATACCAAAAAATTGAATTTTCGTCAATTTTAATATTTTCCGGGTTTTTTGGGGTGTGGCATTGTTCGGAACAATAACAACAATAATAAAATGAAAAGAAGCATTTCTAATTAACCCTACAAATAATTTATTTATCGCAAAACATGTAACACATGTTACACAAAGTGTTTTTTATTGAATTTGTACGGATAAAAGTGATTATATACAAGATAAAATCAAACAGGACACAAAGAACTATACATACATAATGGGAAATTGAACAAAATATACACAATGGCTTTATAATTAATTTATTTTACATTTTACAATCACTTTGATCCTGGTGAGAGTTATCTTCCTTGAAAATAATCGGAACTTTTTGCAAAGGGATGACATTTACACAATGATAGTTGTCTCTGTTTATATATAACAAAAATGATGGAAATAAATTAAAAATATGATATCAAAATTATCAATTTATTGTTCTTTAATGGAACCGAATTACCTTCAGTCATGTACACTTTGGACATCATTCCACAGTCCGCTAACTCATGGTATATTTATAATTACATGTCAGATACATATATGGTATGCCGTTCTCACGTGCACTCACACATGCATTTCATAGGTATCTTGATATTTTACAAAACAGAGTAAGTAACGGGAGCGATTGAAAATATAATTTTAATTAGATTGCTCGCTACATAATCTTTTTTCAAAATCGTTCAGTATATATTAATTTAACATGATGAAGCCGAAATTTGAACATGACTATTACAATTTGATAACATATAACAGGAAAGTATGACATAGATTACATGCATATTTACTAGTACATGGGATAATATGAATATTGACTGGTAAAACTTAGATAACATAGATAATGACTAAAACATGGAAAATACCAACAATCCTTGCATTGGACCTATCTAACCTAGTGCTGTATATAAACACTCTTCTTGAGCCAGTGAAAAGATACCTAAAGTTCTCTTTATTATAAAATTAATACACAATGCAATTTACAACCAACAGTATTGGTTAACATCCAAAACGTGCTCTCTGTACTGAATAAGGGGAGGAGGTGGGGTTTTATGAAGGTTTTGAAGTATTATCAAAAATAGTTTTTCCTTTTCTTCGTTTTGTTGATTTTCTGTGCGTTTTTAAAAATCTAAAGATTGTGGGGTTAATGATTGGGGTCAACGTGCACGGAGCCAGGGGGCCCTTTAGCCTTTGACCTTTTGATCAATCGGAATCCCCCATTCACTCTGAAGAAGGGGCCCACAGGGGGAAACCCAACTGTGGGGTCCCCAAAGGAACATTATTAAATGAAAACATTTTGTTGTCCGAAAAATCGTATATAAATACATTTTTTATTGTTGTCCTTCATGTTTTCCCAATTTCCTCCAAAGTAGCTGTGAGATGTTAACTCTTTAATTACTAAACAAAGCTCTGTTTACAAAATCATAACACAAAGACATGGACTATGGCGTAAATGGCTCACCCCAAAAAATTGGCCGCCAACTTTTTATTAAATTATTTGTTTTGTTTTCTTCTTTTGATTTTTTTAAAAATGATTTCTCTTTCCTAATTTTGTTTTTTGTAAAGGTGCGGCCAATTAAATCCGCCATAAGGCGTCACAAGCCAGGTCACAAGGAAACGAACAATCCAGACATCAGTACGTAAATGTAGAACCATATCATGTCCTGTCATCAAATGTTCTCTTTTTATGTAGTGTGTAATTAAAGACCTCAAAAGATGTTTGGTGTATTTTGAGCTCCTCCTTCGCGAGAACGTTCACTCCTAATACTATCGTTCCTTTTAACATACTTATCTATTGATGAGCATATATCGTGTGACAACACGACAAACCAGAGAAAAATCATAACAAGGATGAAACTGTAAGAGGGTTGAGCTCCTGGTTAA